GTGCATGAACGAATCAAAAAACATCACAATCTCCTCAAAAACCTCTATCTGATTTCAAATATTTCCAAAAATGGAAGGTTTACGTTTAAACTCCGTGATTCGTTTCCTCTTTTTATTCGTTTTCTTTGTCTATTCTCATAAATTACTACAAGTCAACGCGAGCGAACCGGTTCTTGAGCTAACCAAAGGCTTCGAAGCTAAACCGGACTCATCCTTTAACTCGTTTCAGCCACTTCTCACTGACCCGAACGGAAACTTCTCGTTCGGATTCTTACGTATAAACGGGTCACGTCTCTCACTAGCCGTAACACACCCGAATTTAACGGATCCTCTCTGGGTTTTCGACCCGACCCGTTCAGCAAGCTGGTCACACAAGACGAAACTCATCTTCAATGGCAGTCTCGTAATTACCGATCCTTCTTCGAGGGTAGAATGGTCAACTCACACTAACGGAGACCGTCTCGTCCTCCGTAACGACTCCAATCTCCAGGTGGTGAAATCGTCGTCTTCCTCCGTCGAGTGGGAAAGTTTCGATTTTCCCCGAAATACCCTCGTGGAAAACCAGAATTTCACATCTGCCATGGCTTTGGTTTCATCAAACGGATTGTATTCGATGAGATTAGGATCCGATTTCATCGGATTATACGCAAAAGTCAGAGAAGATTCAGATTCAGATTCGCAACAGTTTTACTATAAACGAAGTGCTCTTCAAGCTAAAGCCAGAGTCAAAGACGGGTCGGGTCCGATTCTCGCTCGGATCAACCCGAATGGTTATCTCGGTATGTACCAAATCGGAAACACACCGATCGACGTCGAAAAATTCAGCAGCTTTCAAAAACCGGTGAACGGACTTCTGATTCTCCGGTTAGAATCCGACGGTAATCTCCGGGGATATCTCTGGGACGGATCTCAATGGGCTTTAAACTACGAAGCTATTCACCAAACTTGCGATCTACCAAATCCTTGTGGTCCGTACAGTTTATGCACTCCTGGATCTGGATGCTCGTGCTTAAACAACAGCACCGTGATCGGAGAGTGTAGTAACGCGGCGACTCCGGTGGATTTTTGCGGCGGAGAGAAGATGACGGAGATAAGACGTGGAGGCGTTGAAATGCCGTTTAAGGAGTTGGTGGATCATAAAACGACGTCGTCTTTGGGTGAGTGTGAAGAGATGTGTGTAGAGGATTGTAAGTGTTTCGGGTCGGTTTATAATAACGGATCCGGGTTTTGTTATTTGGTTAATTATCCGGTTCGGACTATGTTGGGAGTTGCGGATCCGGGTAAAATGGGTTATTTTAAGGTACGTGAAAGTGTAGGGAAGAAAAAAAGTAGAGTTGGATTAACGGTTGGGATGTCTGTGATCGCTGTGATTGCGTTGGTTTTAACGGTTGCGATGGTTTATGTTGGGTTTAGGATTTGGAGTAGAGAGAAACGAGATCTAGAGGAAGATAATGGGTTATCACCCGGCCCGTATAAAAATCTCGGGTCGGATAGTTTTAGATCCGTTGAAATGAGTCGTAGATGATGATATAGCTTTTTAGTTTTTTTCTCATAATTTTTTTTTTTCAAGAAGAGGTATAATTATTTTACACATATATAAAATTAACTTCTTTTTTATCCTCTTTGCAATTTGACCACTATCTTGTTGATGAACTTTTTACCTAACAAATAATAATTTTATTGTTACGAAGATATATTATATGGTTTGGCAATATACCTTTTTGCAATATATAATTATTAATTGATTGATAAATATCGGAGAAAAAAAAATTTGGAAAATTTGTGAAAGCGTCATGGATGACGCTAAACAAACAAGTGTGGACGGTGGACTTTCCCAAAGGACCACAAGTTTGAGATTTCAACTATACTATATTTATAGTCTTTATTATTTTTTTAATAATACATCTAATTTTATATTATGACCAAGTGCTAATAAGTGCACGTGCTTCACGGCCGCAACCACCAAAAATTTATCCGAGTTTCATCATGTAGAGAATTTTTGATAAACAAATGAATTGTGTTTAAGTTATAACAATCAGATTGTACGTGACAAATAAATGGATATGTGTATAACAATCAGATTGTACGTGACAACTATAGTAATTATATCGAGCAAACACGTTGAAATAAGGAAGAACTGAGTTTTTTTTTATGAACTATGAAAATTTCAAGTCTTCCATCCATAACTTTTTCTAATGACCACATAATTTTTATAGATGTTCGAAACTAGCCGTTAATAATATCAGTGACGGATCCAGGAAAGAGGAAAGTGGATCAATTGATTTTGATAATATTGTTAAATGTATATTTGAATACATGTAAAACAATGAAGATTATGTAGCATAAATAATAGTTTCCCTAGGATGATCCACCAGAAACCCGGGTTCGAGTCTCTTTCTTTAAAGTTTGAGACTATTATTTATTTTTTGAAATTGTTGATCTAGGTATAAAAAATTTATGGGACCGTCATTTAGGTCGTAAATAATTTATTCCGATGAAAGTTGACATATTTATCACCATTTTTCTATCTTTTGAATTTAAAAAGTCTTCTCATTTAGTTAAATGCGCTAAATAGAGACACTAAAGTAGAAACCGTGCTTCATTCCTACTCCACTCACAACCTTAAGCACATGTTACAGAAATAGAAAATGAAAAATAACTTTAGGTACAAATCCCAAATCGTTGTTCGCTTAACATATACTGTATTCCATTGACTCTCTAATCCAAAGTTTACAAATATTTTGCAAGAAGAATACTAAAAATAGAATTGCAAGTAAAATAGTAACAAAGAGTAATCTTAATAGATAAAACTTTCTTCAATTTCTTTTTAGCAAAAAAAAAACTTTCTTCAATTTCTACAATCAAAGGCAAAGGCAAAGGCAAAGTTTTTTTAGCAAAAAAAAAAAATCAAAGGCAAAGCGAGAATAACTATTGGTCGTTGGAGTTACAAAGCGACAAAATTTCTATTGGCCTCTCATAAAACTCCATTTTTCTCGCCGAAACCTTCTCCGATTCGGCCTTATACTATATAAAGCCCAAAGGCCCATTCTCCTGAATCTCGCAAATCGGAACTATCTTCTCCGTCACCGTCGCCGCCGCTGCTTTATCTATAAAATGTCGTGCTTCAAATCCAAATTCGCCGGTATATCTCACCTTTCGATCTATCCTGTTTCATCCTCTGTTTGTAGTAGTTCGAATTCGGCATCATCGTTATTCAATCTATAGATCCTATGATTCGTTGATCGTCTCTGCGATTTTCCAAGTAATCGATTCTTTGTCGATTTCTTCGATCCTAGCTCCAGGACTGCTCAATTCCTTAATCAATTTCATCTCATTTCCGTTTCTTCCTTCCGATTTCCGCAGATGAGCTTATCGCCAATGCTGCGTACATCGGTACTCCGGGAAAAGGTATTCTCGCCGCTGATGAATCCACAGGAACAATCGGAAAACGTTTCGCAAGCATCAATGTAGAGAACGTTGAATCGAACAGACGTGCTCTTCGTGAGCTCTTGTTCACCACTCCTGGAGCTCTCCAATACATCAGTGGTATCATCCTCTTCGAGGAAACACTTTACCAGAAAACAGCTTCAGGTCAATAAACTCAAAATCACATTTTCTAGTGCTTTCTCTTGTGTTCTCATGTTCTTGATTTGTGCTATGTCACTTTACCAGAAAACAGCTTCAGGTCAAACTCAATACCTCAAAAATGAATAATCACTTCTTGTTTGTGAAGAATCTATCAAGTTATTATTTAGATTTGGTTATGTTACTTTGATCTCAAAGTTCCAATTCTAAACTTTTCGGGTTATGATGTTCTTGATTTGTGGTACAGGGAAACCATTTGTTGATGTAATGAAAGAAGCTAAGGTACTTCCAGGTATCAAAGTCGATAAAGGAACAGTCGAGCTCGCTGGTACAAACGGCGAAACTACAACCATTGGACTTGATGGACTCGGAGAACGCTGCAAGAAATACTACGAAGCAGGTGCGCGTTTCGCCAAATGGCGTACGGTTCTCAAAATCGGAGCCAACGAGCCTTCGCAGTTAGCCATCCACGAGAACGCTTACGGTCTAGCGAGATACGCAGTCATTTGTCAAGAGAACGGTCTAGTCCCCATTGTTGAACCAGAGATTCTTGTTGACGGATCTCACGACATTGAGAAATGTGCTTACGTTACAGAACGAGTCCTTGCAGCTTGTTACAAGGCTCTTAATGATCACCATGTGATCTTAGAAGGAACACTCTTGAAACCAAACATGGTAACTCCAGGTTCAGACAGTAAATCCAAGGTTAAACCTGAAGTGATCGCAGAGCACACGGTCCGTGCTTTGCAACGGACTGTTCCTGCTGCGGTTCCAGCCGTTGTGTTCTTGTCTGGAGGACAGAGTGAGGAACAAGCAACTGTGAATTTAAACGCTATTAATCAGCTTAAAGGTAAGAAACCATGGAGCTTGACGTTTTCGTATGGACGTGCGCTTCAACAGAGTACGCTTAAGGCTTGGGGAGGTAAAGAAGAGAATGTCGAAAAGGCTCAAAAGGCGTTCTTGGCTCGAGCCAAGGCTAACTCTGAGGCAACCCTTGGTGGCTACAAAGGTGATGCTCAGCTTGGTGAAGGTGCTTCGGAGAGTCTTCATGTCGAAGACTACAAATACTAAAATGTCATTTTCGGAATTTCAGTAATTTTTTGGAGATTTGGTTATTTTGTGATATATCATAACGTTAACAGTGTAA